AGTGATCTGTAGGAACAGAGGCCAGTCCATCTTCATGAGCCCCACAACTCCGTCCAGTTTGGCTTGCACTTCTTTGGGCATGGTTTCCCTGATGTAGGTTCTGAACAGAGGGCCAGATGTCTTCCGTTCATTCCCATCACTTCCAGTCTTTGTTTTCCATTTCTGTTGAAACCTGTGCAGAAACTGGGCTGGGCTCTCATCATCCTTCAGACATTCTTGTCTCAGCTTAGTTGGATCACTGCAGGTGGGGTATTTGTTCCTCAAGGCTGCCCAGACCTTGGGTCTTATGTGGTTGAATGGTATCTTGTCATACTGGTGCGAGGTCATGACCCTTGGAAGCTGGGCTTCATCGAACACCTCTCTGGCTGCTGAGTGTCCTGCTGTTTTGATTAGCAGCGCCTTGATGTCTCCAGCTGCCAGATTGATGCCTCCAGTGATTTCTTCCAGCTTTTCTATCCACCTGTCAGCACCATCTGCCAACGGGGTCAGTCTTCCAGCAAGTGTGATCATGTGCATAAATGACCATGGCACATATCTGTCTTCATGAGGTCCCTTAGACAGCAAGGGAGCTATATAAGCCCCACCTTGACCTTGTTCTGTCTTCTGCTGCCGTGCTTGAAACCTGGTCAGCATTGTGCGAGGGCCGCTTCTTACTATTTTCAGATCCACGTCACATTCAGCTGAGAGTGGCTTCTGTCCTTTTGCCACTGGCCTGCTTTTTTCCTTGGGCCCCTTATTAAATGGGTTTTTTGACAACAGTATGTCCGGGCCTTCATCCTGCGTTCCAATGTCCTCCCAATCTGTTGCATCACTTTCCATTGAGCCTTCTTCCTCACTTCTCGTCTCTTCCCCCTCATTCCTTCCTGCTTTGTTAATCAGGGTCACCGTCTGTGGACTTGGCTGGTCTGGGTATTCAGCATCGGCCGCTTCCTTTACAAGCTGCGCCACTTCTATTCTCTTCAATTCCTCTATCTCCTTTTTTAGTCTCTTCTCCTCCTCCTTTTGTTTTTTATTGTCTCTCTCAAATCCCTTTGATATTTCACTCGTGCTTCTTCTTCCTTCTCTTCTTCCCTGCTGATAATTTGTGAAAATTCTTTCCTCAGTTCCTCCAGCTCTTTGTCTATTCGTTCTGTCATTGATTCAATCTCTTCCATATATGTCAACCTGGTCCTGGGCTCTGATTGGCATGTAGGGATCCTCTGATATGGTGTTCGTCTGCGACGACTTGGGGGTAGTGAACGGCTATAGCGTGATCTTCTATTTACTTCAGCTAACGATCTGTCTGATTCTTCCTCCGCACTACTACATTCGCACTCTTTCTGTTGCGTGCTCCGTACTACTGTTTCTGCTTCTTCCTCATGTTCTAACACTAATTTAAGTTGTCCTGTAATTTTTCCCTTGCTACCCTGCTTCTCACATATTGGATATTGTCCTACGGTGGTTGGGTGATAAGGTGGTGGCTTATGATCGGTAAAGTCGGGAGCTGTTGGACTCTTATGGTGTTCAGCTTTAAAATATGGCAGGATGTCTCTCTGTTCAGCATGTTTCTGTTTTTTATGCAAATGCATTCGGTCTCATTTTTTATCTTTATCCCTCAGTTTTTCCTCCACTTCATCACAGCATGAAGGGTCAAAACTGCCTTCTTTAGGCCAGCGATTTTTCCCAGATGTTATCTTATGCCACTCTGTCATGCATTTTTGAATTTTGCGCTTATTAGATGGGTGTGTCATTATTACCAGTTTGGCAGGCGTTAGCCCCTTAGTTTGCTTGCTCACATTGGCTCCCATGGCAACCAGCAGTCACTCAACCCTCGGGGTCCGTGCTTACCCACCAACCTCTATAGTCCCTTAATAATCTAACTTAACTTGTCCTGCTCTCTCCAATACAGATCTCTTTTTGTTTTAATTTTCCTACATTCTTAATTTTAGATCTCTACAATTTAGGATTTCTAATGGAACAAATTTGTAATATTATCTTATACTTTTTATTAAGTTTTTGTATTGTTACTCTATAATTTTTATTTTATTATTTTAACTTTGTATTTGTTAGTTATTAGTTCTGTTGCTTATTATTATTATGCCTTTTAAGTTTTATTTGTCTACCTGGCAAGTTCAAGGCCTGGGTGTACCAACATGGCATCCTTCCAAGGATTCTCTGGCCCCTCCTTGTGTATGAGGTCCCAATCTCCACAGTTGAGGGCTTTGAAAGGAGAGTCAGCAGGTTCCTGCGGAAGTGGCTGGGTGTACCGCGGAGCCTGAGCAGCATCGCCCTATACGGAAAGAGCAACATGCTGAAGCTCCCCTTCAGCAGCCTGAATGAGGAATTCAAGGTGAGCCGAACTAGGGAGGTGCTGCAATACAGAGAGTCATGTGACCCAAAAGTCTCTCAGGCGGGTATCGAGGTCCGGACGGGGCGGAAGTGGAGGGCGGCAGAGGCTGTGGAAGTGGCGGAGTCACGGCTGCGGCACAGGACTCTGGTGGGGACAGTGGCTCGGGGAAGAGCAGGCCTTGGTAGCAGCACAACACCTTGCTGCGGGAAGGCAAAGGAGAAGAGGAGGAGGACGCTGCTCCAGGAAGAAGTGCGGGCAGCTGTGGAAGAAGAGCGGTCCGGCAGGGTGCTTGGAATGCGGCAGCAGGGAGCCTGGACGCGATGGGAGCAAGCAGCAGAGCGCAAAGTCACGTGGACTGAGCTGTGGAGAGCCGAGCCCCAACGCATAAAATTCCTGATCCAGGCTGTATATGACGTATTGCCAAGCCCGTCTAACCTGTTCTGTTGGGGGAAGGTGGAGTCACCAGCATGTGCCCTGTGCCAGAAGAGAGGGACCCTGGAGCACATCTTGAGCTGCTGTCCGAGGAGCCTGAGTGAGGGGCGCTATCGCTGGCGTCATGACCAGGTCTTGAAGGCCATAGCGAACTCCATCTGCAGTGGAATAGCCCACTGCAAGCGCCTCCGCCCAGCGAAGAAGGCTATCTCCTTCATCAGAGCTGGAGAAGGACCACCAGCTGTTGCCAGGGTCTCTTCCGCTGGCCTGCTCACAATGGCACAGGATTGGGAGCTGATGGCAGACTTGGGGAAACAACTGAAGTTCCCAGGAAATGTGGCCATAACATCACTAAGGCCAGACGTGGTGCTGACCTCAGCAACATCGAAGCAGGTTGTGCTTCTGGAGCTCATGGTCCCTTGGGAAGACCGCATCGAGGAGGCCAACGAGAGAAAGAGGGCTAAGTACAGCGATCTGGTGGAGCAGTGTCGGCTCAATGGGTGGCGAGCAAGGTGCGAGCCTATTGAGGTGGGATGCAGAGGGTTTGCGGGCCAGTCCCTCTGCAGGGTGTACAGCATGCTGGGCATCACAGGGGCCAGCAAGCGAAGGGCCATCAAGGAGGCCACAGAGGCAGCAGAGGTTGCCTCGCGGTGGTTGTGGATCAGGAGAGGAGATCCGTGGGTAGGGTAGCGCTACCTGGACACGAGCTGGGGTCTGATCAACCCTGGCTGGGTCGCCTGGAGGAGAGTGTATGATGTTTGAAAGACCCGAAACACTCTATGATACCAGGTAATATCACTGATGATGTGTCCAGGTTGCATCACTAGTTGATGTATGTACGAAGCTTCTGTCTGGGATAACCAGTGACCACCAGGAAAGTCTGGTTGACTACCAAGAACAGAGTGGTGACAGCTGGAGAGACAGCGGACAGCCCGGAGAGACGGCATCGGGGCAGTAAGGGTTAGCAGCCCAAACCTGCATCTTTCTCTCTACTAGGAGGAAGAACCCACCCTAAGCTACAGATCGACCTATGGAGAAATACCCCCAGGGATCCCCGAGAGGGGGGGAGGATGAGGATCCCACTCGGACGGATCAAAGAATGACGAAACCAGGCAATGGAAATACGACTATGACTACAGAATGCTTTTGTGGCAAAGTGTGCAAAAACCCACGTGGTCTGAAGATCCACCAGACCAAGATGAGATGTGTGCAGACGGAGCAAGTGTCACAGCGCGCAGGGATCCCCCCTGGTGAGACGCAGGAGGAGCTAGGCCTGGAGCCAAACCATAGTGCCCAGAATCTCCAAGTGGTACAAGCCCCAAACCCACACAGACCACCAGAACATCGTCGGGTTAGATGGCCCAGAGCTGATAGGGAGTATGAGTGGCGCCAGTTTGATGAGGACACCGACTCCATCTTAGGAGCAACAGCCAAGGGGGAAGTCGATCGGCGTCTCCAGACCATGACCACCATCATCATCAGCATGGGAGCTGAGAGATTTGGCCTGGAGGTGAAGAAAGCAGGGAGATTGCCCTACACCATGAGCAATCGAGCACACAAGATCCACCAGCTCAGGAAGGAACTGAGGGTCCTGAGGCGGCAGTTTAAGCAGGCAAGAGAGGAGGAGAGGGGACCGCTCTCAGAGCTGCGCAACATACTTCGAAAGAAGCTCCTGACTTTGAGGAGGGCTGAGTGGCATAGGAGAAGAAGGAAGGAAAGAGCCAGGAAGCGCACTGCCTTTCTAGCAAACCCGTTTGGGTTTACGAAGCAGCTGCTGGGGCAGAAACGCAATGGTCAACTTACCTGTTCCAAAGCAGAGGTCGACCATCACTTGGCTGCAACCTATGGAGATGCATCCAGGGAGCAAGACCTGGGAGACTGCCAGTCCCTGATTGACCCACCAGCACCAACAGTGGACTTCGATGGGAGGGAGCCCAGCTGGAAGGAAATCCAGGAGGTAGTCAAAAAGGCAAGATCAAGCTCAGCCCCCGGACCTAGTGGGGTACCTTACAAGGTGTACAAGAACTGCCCAAAGTTACTCCACAGGCTCTGGAGGATTTTGAAGGTAATCTGGAGGAGGGGAAAGGTTGCCGAGCAGTGGCGATTTGCAGAAGGTGTATGGATTCCGAAGGAGGAAGGGTCTACAAACATCGATCAGTTTAGAACCATCTTCCTGCTCAGTGTTGAAGGGAAATTATTCTTCAGCATTGTGGCAAGGCGTCTAACTGACTACCTCCTCAGGAACTCCTACATCGACACCTCGGTCCAGAAGGGAGGGATCCCAAAGATACCAGGGTGTCTGGAGCACAATGGCGTGGTCACTCAGCTGATCAGGGAAGCCAGAGAGAGCAAGGGAGACTTAGTCGTGCTGTGGCTGGACCTTGCGAACGCATATGGATCCATACCTCATAAGCTCGTCGAGCGGACACTGTGCGGCCACCATGTCCCAGCTAAGTTCAGAGACCTCATTCTGGACTATTACAACAGGTTCAGTCTGAGGGTTGCAGCAGGATCCATAACATCGGACTGGCACAAGCTGGAGAAGGGAATCATCACCGGATGTACCATTTCAGTGATCCTCTTCGCACTTGCTATGAACATGCTGGCAAAGTCCACCGAGGTTCAGTGCAGAGGGCCCCTAACCAAGTCTGGTGTCAGGCAGCCGCCCATCAGGGCCTTCATGGACGACCTGACCGTGACAACGTCAAATGTCCCAGGGAGCAGGTGGATTTTGAAGGGGCTGGAAGAACTGACTACCTGGGCCCGCATGACCTTTAAGCCCGCTAAATCGAGATCCCTTGTGCTAAAGAGAGGAAAAGTCACCAACAAGTTCATCTTTACACTTGGCGGCACCCAGATACCATCCATCACCGAGAAGCCGGTGAAGAGCCTGGGGAAAGTTTTCAACTGCAGCCTGAGAGACACAGCAGCCATCAACGCGACCAATCAAGATCTGGAGGCTTGGCTAGCTACGGTGGACAAATCAGGTCTACCTGGCAAGTTCAAGGCCTGGGTGTACCAACATGGCATCCTTCCAAGGATTCTCTGGCCCCTCCTTGTGTATGAGGTCCCAATCTCCACAGTTGAGGGCTTTGAAAGGAGAGTCAGCAGGTTCCTGCGGAAGTGGCTGGGTGTACCGCGGAGCCTGAGCAGCATCGCCCTATACGGAAAGAGCAACATGCTGAAGCTCCCCTTCAGCAGCCTGAATGAGGAATTCAAGGTGAGCCGAACTAGGGAGGTGCTGCAATACAGAGAGTCATGTGACCCAAAAGTCTCTCAGGCGGGTATCGAGGTCCGGACGGGGCGGAAGTGGAGGGCGGCAGAGGCTGTGGAAGTGGCGGAGTCACGGCTGCGGCACAGGACTCTGGTGGGGACAGTGGCTCGGGGAAGAGCAGGCCTTGGTAGCAGCACAACACCTTGCTGCGGGAAGGCAAAGGAGAAGAGGAGGAGGACGCTGCTCCAGGAAGAAGTGCGGGCAGCTGTGGAAGAAGAGCGGTCCGGCAGGGTGCTTGGAATGCGGCAGCAGGGAGCCTGGACGCGATGGGAGCAAGCAGCAGAGCGCAAAGTCACGTGGACTGAGCTGTGGAGAGCCGAGCCCCAACGCATAAAATTCCTGATCCAGGCTGTATATGACGTATTGCCAAGCCCGTCTAACCTGTTCTGTTGGGGGAAGGTGGAGTCACCAGCATGTGCCCTGTGCCAGAAGAGAGGGACCCTGGAGCACATCTTGAGCTGCTGTCCGAGGAGCCTGAGTGAGGGGCGCTATCGCTGGCGTCATGACCAGGTCTTGAAGGCCATAGCGAACTCCATCTGCAGTGGAATAGCCCACTGCAAGCGCCTCCGCCCAGCGAAGAAGGCTATCTCCTTCATCAGAGCTGGAGAAGGACCACCAGCTGTTGCCAGGGTCTCTTCCGCTGGCCTGCTCACAATGGCACAGGATTGGGAGCTGATGGCAGACTTGGGGAAACAACTGAAGTTCCCAGGAAATGTGGCCATAACATCACTAAGGCCAGACGTGGTGCTGACCTCAGCAACATCGAAGCAGGTTGTGCTTCTGGAGCTCACGGTCCCTTGGGAAGACCGCATCGAGGAGGCCAACGAGAGAAAGAGGGCTAAGTACAGCGATCTGGTGGAGCAGTGTCGGCTCAATGGGTGGCGAGCAAGGTGCGAGCCTATTGAGGTGGGATGCAGAGGGTTTGCGGGCCAGTCCCTCTGCAGGGTGTACAGCATGCTGGGCATCACAGGGGCCAGCAAGCGAAGGGCCATCAAGGAGGCCACAGAGGCAGCAGAGGTTGCCTCGCGGTGGTTGTGGATCAGGAGAGGAGATCCGTGGGTAGGGTAGCGCTACCTGGACACGAGCTGGGGTCTGATCAACCCTGGCTGGGTCGCCTGGAGGAGAGTGTATGATGTTTGAAAGACCCGAAACACTCTATGATACCAGGTAATATCACTGATGATGTGTCCAGGTTGCATCACTAGTTGATGTATGTACGAAGCTTATTATTATTATTATCGTTATTATTATTATTCGCCTCTTACTCCCCCTTAGTACTTAACTCTTTCACGCTTCAAACAGACAACGACACACAAGACAAATTATTAGGTATTTACAGTGCACTTTTACGCTGCAGGCCTCTTACTCTTACAGCACCTTTTCCTCACTGTCTCCTACAGTGGCACATGCGTTTTCCCTGCTGTCCGGGGTCCACCCAGATAACTGGAAATGGACGACGTCACCCGGTAGAGCGGTACTCGTTTCTCTGACTATCGCTTAGTCAGTAATATTCTGGCTATCGCTTAGCCTCTCAATACTTAGTACAACACAAGTTTTCGGAGCACTCTGACTATCGCTTAGTCACTAATACTCCCTATTCATCACAACTATAGAGCATACACTAAACACCTTCACTACACCGGTTTCCACAACCTCTGTCAAGCGCTTATAACCGGACTGTCCCTCTTTGTGTATTGTTCAGTTCAAACCTTAACACAGAACAGTTCAAATACAGAATAGTTCAAACATTAATCAATACTTAACAAACCATGCATTCACATATACATTCATACCATACATTCATACACACATACCTTTGGACCGTTCTCCAGCTTAGTCTGCCTTTTGTATATTCTTATGTAAGTATTATTAAATTTGGAAGATACTTATTAAATTTGGAATACTAGGTTCTTTTAGGAGAGCTTGGTGGTGCCTGACGCCCACAAGCAGTCGCTGGAGGCTGGTTCCCCACTAATTTAGAAAATTATAACAAATTGTATCTCACCTGTATGTTGGTGGATAGTGGGCCCTTGGGGGTTCCTGGCCTCCAACTGGTGCCTGCAGGTCGTCCGACGCCTGGGCTTCCTCCTGCTGGCTCGCCAAAATGTTGTGGAATGTCTTCCCAACGACTTAGAATTTTATGCTAAGTCTTGTAAAAATTCACAGTTCTTAAAAAGCAGTTGAAAAGTCTTCAAACAATGATCAAAAAAACAGGCAGAGGCAGCTGGGTCAGCTCCTCCTATTTTGCATAATCTTAGGTACTATTTTCCACGGGTATTTCCAATTTATTTTATCTTACCGGTGGAAAACCCACCTCAAGACATATTTTTTATATATATTTTAATTAAAGCCTTTCTTTGATCTATCAAAGCCTTTTCTTTACAGGTCATTGTGACATATATTGCAGTTACATCAAAAACACATTATAACCTTGATCATCAATATGTCAAAACAACGTTTCATTCAGTGTAACTTATGTTTCATAACATTTCATTAAATCATTCAGCATAACTTTTGATGGTCAAAATTTCATTAAAACACAGCGCAGTATACTTTGTTGTATTACTTTGATATGACAACAAAATATATCATACTTGAGTTCAGCTCCGTGGTGCAACCTTGATATGTCAAAATAATACATTCTTCATGTGTATGACTTCATCATCAAAAGGCCTCATCTTTGCAACCTTACAGCATCAAAACTTTGGATCCAGTCAAATACCTCTGTCCCCCTTCAAATACCTGTCTTTTTCCCTCCTGATCTTATCTCAAACTTCAAAGCTGCAGATGGCCTTGCACAGTGGTTTATTTTTATCCATGTTGGAGCATACTCTTTGAACTCTCTGGCCTTTTATAACATAAATGTATTTATTGTGAAACATTTATCCACTATATTCTATTCATTGGTGCAGTATTTAATTCACTACAGTAATCCATGTCAACCTGAACACAGTCATCCTGAACCACACTGTCATCAAACAAATTCGTTTGACTCTGTTTGATGTCATCAAAAACCTCATGCATAATTCAAAGTATCTCTGTAGCGGAGGCTCAAAGTTATTAGACTGGCTTCTCTGATTTGTAATCACGAAGTGTGCATCTGTCAGAACGCACTAAGTTCCCCCAAGACTTATAAATGATGAAGGAGACGGTCAGTCCTTTTATGGCACTTTAATCCAGTGTGGTTCTGGAAAATAATAACAATTTGATTGTTTAAACAATCAACAACAAATAATAACAATTATTAATATATTTAACAATAGCTCACAAATTAAATAATAGTTATATATGTCCGGCACTAACAACAAAGGAAATGGTCAGTAGCATAAATATAACATAAATTACCCTTTAAACCATCTGAGGTAACTAGCAATTAGCACTGCTAGCAATATGAACTGTAGCACCAAATACAACTCAACCAGCCGGCCTAACAGATTAAACATAAAACAACAATAATTTGGTCCAGCAAAAAAACAACATAACTTACGTTTCTCTGGATGCACACTGAACCACAAGCTTCAGAGGGACGGATACAATGTTACAAACACAACCTGCAACTTGTAATACACTTAAATCACCATCGTCAGTCTCTTCTTCTCTTGGCTAGTAGTGGCACCCAGCCCGATTGAGCGCGTGTGCACCCCCTAGTGGCCGGATCGGCCCATGTCCCCAGCTAAGGCATGCTGCCGTCAGAACAGCCGCCCCCAAATTTGCTCCAGCAAATTTTCCGTACCCAGTCTATCACTGTTCATTCTACTTGATGTAGTACATTATCTGCACCAATGATTAGAATATATTGGATACATGTTTTACATATTGAATAAATGTTTTACACTAAATACATTTATTCTATAAAGGTCACAGAGTCCAAAAGAGTGTGCTCCACCAAATATGGAGAGATAGAGAGCAGTGTGTGTGTAAGCTCTCTGCAGGTGCAGCTTTGAGTGCAGCCTTAAAGTTTGAGAGATAAGACCAGGGTGGGAAAACACAGAGAATAAGCGGGAAACAGGAACACTGAAAGGAGTCCAAGGCCATTTGAGGCCTTTGAAGCCCAAGGGTGCTGAAATGAGGGCTTTTTGTAAGACAGACGCATTGAGAATGGGTTGTTCAGGGTTGCACAGCTCAGCTGAACTGATTGTAATATATTGAGTTGTTATCTCCAAAGCATGCAGTGCAGTACTGGTCACACAAAAAGTGAGGTTTATACTGGGACTTTGAGCATGAAGGTTATACTGACCTTTTTTGATGTAATGTTATGATCTTTAGTCACACTGGTTGAAAACATTGTTTTGACATATTGATGATTAAGACTATGATGTGTTTTTGATTTAACTGCACTAATTGTCATCATGATCTACAAGAAATGTCACCATGACTTGTGAAGAAAAAGCTTTGATAGATCAAAGAAAGGCTTCAATTAAAAATATAAAATATGGTTTGGAGGTGGGTCTTCCACCAAGATGAAAGAGCCCCAAGCCCCAGGAGTGAATAAAAAAGAGCCTGTTTGTGCATGTAAGTCAGTTGCTCACCGGTGAACAGCTCATGTGGTTGTTTTTGTGTTTTGCAATAAACCACATTGGACTTGGACCCAGTTGCCCCTGCCTGGTTTTTGATCATAGTTTGAAGACTTTTCTACTGCTTTTTAAGAACTTTTAATTTTTACAAGACTTAGCTCCAATTTTAAGTCGTTGGGAGGACAGTTTCCACGACATTTTTGGCGAGCCAGCCAGGAGGAAGCCCCAGGCGTCGGACAACCTGCAGGCACCAGTTGGAGGCCAGGAACCCCAAGTGCCCAATATTCACCAATATTCAATATTTACAGGTGAGATACAATTTGTTATAATTTTCTAAATTAGTGGGGAACCAGCCTCCGGCGACGGCTTGTGGGTGTAAGGCGCCAAAAGAGCTCTCCTAAAAAACCTAGTATTCCAAATTTAATAAGTATTTTCCAAATTTAATAAGTATTTATATAAGAATATACAAAAGGCAGACTAAACTGAAGAAAGGTCCAGGTATGTATGAATGTATATGTGAATGCATGGTTTAAGTATTAATTAATGTTTGTATTATTCTGTATTTGAACTGTTCTGTGTTTGAATTATTTTGTGTATAAGTTAAGCTTAACAAGTGATGTTCTGAGCGGACGATTGGTAAAGGGACAGATTGGTCAAGGCGTTTGACATAGTCTGTGGAAGCCATAAATCCGGAACATTAAAGTATGCGTGTTAAGTGGGAGTATTGGCGACTAAGCGATAGTCAGCATGCTCCGTGAACTTGTGTTGTATTATGTATTAAGTATTAGGTATTGAGAGGCTAAGAGATAGCCAGGCTAAGGGATTGCCAGAATATTACCGATTAAGCGATAATCGGAGAACGAATACCGCTCTACCGGATGACGTCTACCTATTTTCAGTTAGTATCTGAGTAGGTCCGGGTAGCAGGGAAAACGCGTGTGCCACTGTAGGAGACAGTGAGGAAAAGTAGAAGTGCACTGTAAATATATAATCATTTGTCTTGTGTGTCTTTGAAGAGTGAAAGAGTTAATTACTAAGGGGGGGTAAGGGGCGAATAATAATAATAATAATAATAACGATAATATTAATATTAATAAAGCTTAAAAGGTATAATAATAAATTAACAGAAATAATTATTATAAAATATAGTTAAAAAAAGAATAACACAAAAATTCGCTTTATGATTGATACAGGAGCGGCCTACTCCTGTTTAGGGAAAAGTGGAATTGGCCTGCCTCTCTCAGCATCAAAGATTCGAACAGTAGGTTTCTCTGGGAAGACCCAAATAATACCCATGACTGAGCCAGTTCCCATGATCATAGGTGAAAAGACTGTGTATGCACCACTGCTTTACTCAGAAGATACGCCAATTAATCTGCTGGGTAGAGATGTGCTATGCCAGCTCAATGCTAAAATTAAATGTACCCCTAATGGAATTTCTTTTGAAGCAACGGACAAGAATGAAGCCTACATGATGCCACTAGGCCCACAAATGACCCCCCAGGCAACAAGTTATGAACTAGAAGACCAAGTATTTTGGCTAAAACTCACATCACCAACTTCCTTCCTCCAACTGGAGTGGGAAACATGGAGACCCCTGATAATGAATCACTACGAGAAATCTAGAGAACCTTTTCTCCCTCTCCATTGTACCATGTTTTATGACAAAGGCAAGACACACGAAGACTACGAGAAAAGTTGGGATGAAGAAATTA